GTGAAAATGTGCCAGTGTAAACTTTGGTTTTGCTCACCGGCTGATAAAAACAAAAAAAAGGTCTCTGCAACATCTATTCACTTTTATTTTGTTAGTTGAAATACTTGCATGGCTTTATCATTTATTTCCTTCTTTTTACTTTTTTAAACTCATTCAGTGGTAATATCTGATTCTGTACAAAGTCACTAGAATCTTTGAAAACACACACACACACACACACACACACATATAAATATATATATATATACATATATATAAATATTCTATAGTAGACATGCCTAGAAGACAAAATCAAGTCATTGCTGACTCTACTTTGACGAAGACTGATATGACAATATGATGGAGCCATATTGTGGAAGTTAAAGAACAATTATTTGTTTGGACTGGATGTAAAAACAAAAAGCTGCCAGCGTAAAGGTGGAATTTATGCCAAATCGAAGACATTTAATGTGCTGGTTGTGAGAGTTTTAAAATGACATTGAAGAAGCAATCATGGATTAAAATGGAAAAACTCTCTGGCCTATAACATACACATACATAAAAAAAAAAAGTCAGACAGCATTTGGCCATAGTAGTAGGTCAAATGTCAGTGACTGCGGCGTGCCTGAAGGATCCTGCAGATATATGAAACGAGTGTATATCTGTTTAAGTGGAAGTGTTTAAGTCTGTTTTTTGTGAGTGTGTTACAGTGGATCGAAGATGCCTTGATAGAGAAACACATATTTATGATCTCTGGCACCAATTGTGAATGGACTGTTGATGGTGCCCCGAGACTTTGGCATCGTGTTGCCTCATGTGGGCCGGGAATCAGTTTGCATACAAAACCCATATCTCATATTTCACTTTTTGCTGGCTCACATAAACACTCACGAGTCCGATTCTACTGAAATGCTTTGGAATCCAACTTAAGAGGTGAAGTCTCAAAACTGTCATCAGGAACTGTTATAAGGGAGCACAGCTGCTAGTTCTACAGTGTGATTTTGATAAGAGACCAAGAGGATTCCCACCACCCCCCTGTTTTCTTCCCTGCTGAGATAACTTTTCGCTGTCACTGATCACTATCGCTGGGCAGCGCCGAGCCTGCACCAAGAGATGATGTCATTGAATTGCCTCACCTCTTTTCCTTTTATGTAAACAACCACTCTGTAATATTCAGGTGTGACTGTATTGTCCCAGATGCAATTACGTGTGTGCGCGCGTGCATGTGTGTGTGCGTGGTCACTCTTCTCGTGTGTAAGCTTACAGATCATTCACTTTATGTCTGTTTATAAAGAGATTGTTCTGCAGCAACTGTAAACCTGCCCGGAGTAACGCCACAGAGGGCTGACGTGGTCCAGCCACCTGCCAGGCGCACTCATAACGCTATAGTGAAGACTCAGTGGTGTGTTCTTAGTTTTCATAGTTCAAAAAGCAGAAAAAAAAATGTCATCTACTTTTTTTTTTTAATTATTTGTGGGGTGATTTCATTGTACGCAACAAAAGCTTATCATGCAGAATCTGAATGAATATATGATCACAGTACATTTCTGAAATAAATTATTTTTCAATGTTAACCATTCTGGTATTGAATTGTGAAACGTAAAGGGGAGATGGGAGGAAGGGAAACATGCAAACAGTGGTATTAAAGGGATATAACCCCCTTCTTATTCAGACTGTGCAGAAAAAAAAGGCCTTCGTTCAGAAGTAGTGACTCCAACTTTTGCCACAAACCAGTGCTGCGTGACCTCTGTAGCTGTGCCACAGTAATCAGCAGATTTCCATTTTCAGTAGCACCCATCGAATCTATTTCCTCTGTAAACCTTCTCACGCACTCTAGCACAGTAAATAACATACATGGTGATCACAGTAATCTCTTATTCAGTAACGATACAAGAAAAAATGGAAATGTTACTTCAGCTCTAAGTGTGTGCATAATCAACTGATTTCAACATTATTGAGGACCTATGTGCAAATCATACCACACCCATTGATCACTATCTACTCCATTCCTCTTGTGTGTCTGTTTAAATCTTTCACAATGCCAGTCGTTTAGTTGTTGGCTTACTTTCCCAGATCCAGTTAATTGGTTGGTAAACTCTGAATATGCCAGAATATGTGGTAAACACACCAAAACAGCAAATGTTTGAAGACTTTACGTTAACTTTCCAATCTTTGTAGCTTTTAGAATAAAGAAAAAGACTGGACTGATAGTCTTCCGAAGCTTCCCTGAGTATCACGCGATGGGCCACATGCTACGTCTAGACATGGTTTCTTCAAACTGGGCATCATGGTTCGTGGAATCACCTGAGTAGTTTTTCTTCAGACACAGAAAGTAGTCCCTTGCTTTCTATTGAAAAATGGCCATTGTGCCTCTAAACATGACACAAAAATTTCTGCAAAGTGCAGCGAATACTATTTACTGTAACGTGATAAAAACCTTAAAAGAAAACAGAGTGCACAATGCCAGAAGCACTCTGTTTACAAATGAGTTCTGTAAGCACTTGGGATCTGTCCATGGCTAATTATTTAATTAAATCACATCTAACCTTGTGTTACTCAGGGTAGAAATAAATTGGATCATTGAAGATTCTTTGAAATGCTGTTATCTGGTTACAAAGTCCCATCCTGACTTCTTCAGCTTTCTCCTGGTTTCCAGATAACCACAAGTGAGATAACTCAGTTGGGCCTTTGACCCCTGTGACTATACATTAAGTGATACCAATATCTACTCAGGACATTGGTGATGCACTGAAAATATATGTGCAAACATTATATGCAGTAATACACAAGCACATGTACAGTGTCAGATGGTGTTAGATGCTAATTGTATCACAGTCAGTCACTTGATCCAATGCTAACCTACTAACCACATAGGCATGAGAAGAGAGGAGATTAGATGGGATAGGATTGGACAGGGAATTGGAACAAGAGCGTCCAGAGCACTAATCCCTTTTTTGAAAACACATGGGAAATTTCCCTCCAACAGAAGAATCACAGACCGGAGGTTTTTCACTTGTTGAAATGTTCATTTCCTTCTGTCTCTCTCTTTCTTCTACCCCTCAGGAAATGACTGACAGATAAGAGTGAGTTGGTGGTCCCTTTTTAAAAAGGGAGCCCAAGGTGCTAAATAGCCCTGATGAGTTTGAGAACCCTCAGTTGGAATATTAAAGGATTCAGACAGAAGGTGTAGTTCAAAGGAGTTTGAAACCCTGAATTTAATTGCCTCATTTGTGAGCTTCACTGAGTGTGGCTTGGGGATTTGAAGAGGATATACTGACAGTTGGAGAAAGGATACTAATTTGAGAAATAGGATGTTCCCTCTGTGCTGTTCATAAATGCCTTCCTAATGTATTCTTTGTATCAAGCTTAAATTGTTTTCTGACTTAGTGTACATTATAGGCAAAAGCAGAAAAATGGCCTCAGTCATTTCTGAAAGACCCTTTGCCCCAGAGAACCCCACTGTTCTCGCAGTTTGAAAAGATGCTAACTTTCCACAGTATGTGGGGAAAGTAAGACTTGGGAATGTGAGTCAGCTAAAAAATTGTGACATAAATTGTTTTCAGGACTCATAGTAGGTCACAATTATTTATATCTCAGTTGAGAGGCTTTTTATGAGAAAAGAAAATACCTTTTGTCCCCATTTACTGTAGTCATTTAGGCTGTGTGCAGTATATAACAAAGAACACAGAGCCACACAAGGAAGCAATAAATGAATAAGGGGCCTGCTTCAGGGAAACCTGCCATCAAAGTGTCATGTTCCTGCCTACCCTCGCTGAAGTTCTGACAGACTTAAACAGATGCCGTAAAACAATACACCACTAATTGGCTCATCATGTTGAAATATAAGCCCTAATGATATTTACAGGTGGGAAAATTAGGCTTTGACAGACAGGTGGGCATCAGTGGAGAATTAAAGTTCACACCAGAGGCCCACCTTACTATTGTAACCACACCCACGCACACACACATGCTCATTTGTATGTGGCCTGGATGATTTACACATCAGACATTGTAAATTTGCTTTGTGGGTGTGAAATTAAAGGCCATTTTTAATGTAATCTGGAAATTGTCAGGAATAATTGGAGAAAAGGGCACTATGTCTAACCTAATTACCTCCATGGCTATTATGAGTTAGTGATCATATAAATCAATGTGCCTGGACCTTTAATTATAGTAATAGGCTACTTTTCAGTGCATTTGTTCTAATACTACAAATTAGAAAAGAGAAGAACATTAACTCCTGTTGTAATTGTGTGCTCTTGCACTAAGTGCACATTTCTGAAATTTAGCATGTTTGAAACCAATAGCAGTCATTTATGTGGTGCTAAAAGGCTAAAGTGAGAAAACATACTGATTTAACCATATTAGCATGACCTTTAGTGCATTGTTATTCACCTTCTTCACAAGTTAGATGATACATTGATTCAGTGTATGTATATGATATATGAAGTTCTGTCCACTTTTAACTACTAGTCTATATACAAGCATTTGTAAACGCGAATTTTATCTACATATATATAACAAATAAATGAGTCTAATACGTTTTTTTTTGTTTGTTTTTTTTAAAGCTGTTATTTTATGGAGCTAAATATGGGTGCAACATTACAGAACAGCAGATTTCCTTGTTTCATAACAGCAAGCAAGATTTTATTATTTTTTATCTGTGTTTAGATCATGGTTTAGATGTGCCAGTAGGCAAATTCTGTTGCATTTGGGCATAGCAGAGTTTGGCTATAACCAGTTTCCCCTGCCAGCCTCATTTCTAAGGTAGCCCGTGCGGTACAAAAAGCCAGACGGTGGTTGCTTCTCCCTTAAGTGTTCAAATGTTTTACTTCGCAGCAACTAGTCCCTGTCAGATAGCTTGGGGAACAGCCTTTACCACTCACTGGGTCAGGCTTGGGATACTCAAGTTGAAGTCCCAGCTATTGTTAGGCGTTGTGGATAAATGGCGCTCTGGCCCTTTAAACCGCAGCAGGAGGTGGTGCTCTCCAGCGCGGGAGGGGAGGGGAGGGGAGGGGGAGGGCCGCTTTGTGAGCCACACAGATGCAAAGTAAACGAACGTTGGGAGCACCAGAACAGGGACCGTCCTGCCACAATTCTCTTGCTTCTCTTTCTACGGACTCATAACTAAGTTTGTGCTAACTCACCCTTCGCGGTGTTTACGGAAAGTTGAGAGGGATATAGTCTGAAACTTCGCCACCGCGTGGACCTTAAAGAAAAAGGTAACGTTTCTTCGCGGTAACCTGAGGAGTGATGTTTTGTTGTATTACACGTATCCAGGGGCTGTTCTGATGACGAGCGACGACTTTTAGTCATCTTTGGGTTGTAGCCAGTGTGTTGAGTGTAGTTTCCAGAATACTCTGTGGGGTCAGAGGAAGAGGCGTAGGTTGAAGTAAAGCCAACGGAGTGAAATCTGCATCTCATTTGAATGTCATCTGCTTCTGGACAATCAGAGCCTGGCAGTTTGATCGAGCTCCTCGGTGTCCCATATGGAGCCAAAACAATGAGCTCTCTCGCGTCCTCTGTGTCCTCCATCAGCCTGAGGAAGACTGGGAAGTACAGGGTCAAAAAAAGCTACAATAAAAGTAACCACCTGAGTTTAAAACATATTCAAGAGCCAACACGTTAATCTAAAGGGTGCTTTTTTAAAATTACAAATATCCTGCCTGATATGGAACCATTTTCTTGACCTATGCCACTATAGACTTTGCTGTGCTTTCAGTTTGAATAATGGCCAAAAAGCTGTGCTGAGCTAATAACTTTCGTTAAAAGTCATGGGATCTCCTGAGGTTTTTTTTTTTCTTTTTCAAATCCAGTTTTGTATGACTTATTAAAGTTGGATATTTTTCTTGTTTTGGGCCCAAAAACTACTCAAGAAAGGAATTAGCTGGGTTTACCATTGCAGAGAGTGACGTATTTCACATTTGGGATCCTCTGTGGTAATGTGCCCACAAACTCTGGCCTTTCATATTGTAAATAAGAGCAACTAACTCAATGAAGCAGCAGATATCCCAGAGTTAAAACTAGGTTGCAAAGTCTAAGAAAAGTGTCCCAAATAACTATATTTGGCTACAGGACGGGTCATGATTTAATCAGAGCAAGGGGCAGATGGTTGCATGAGCATCAGTTCTCTTCAGTGAGAATTACGTAACATTAATACCGCTGCTGTTGGATCTCAGTGAAATCTCTGGGAATCTAGCAAGAGCTCTACAATCTAAACAGCTATTTTCACCCCATCTTTGGCAGGCATATTTGTCCACCTCCCTGGATCATTAGGGAGTTTTTTCCTGTTTGTGGTTAAAGACTTGGCACTTACCTCTTATGGTCATCATCCCGCCTGATGAACTGAGTAATTTGCTGTAAGAGTTGCCACAGTGGCTGTATACGTGCCCGGCCTCATTCATCATGCTCTAAATGAAGGCTGTATAGTGTGTGCCCGACTTTAACTACACTGTCCATAAAGTCTGCAGGTCCGTTTTATAACATTCTGTTTCATTATTCCTCACTCATCGTCAGCTCTTCACGCTTGTTAAGCTGTCGGTCTGGACAATAGTGAAAGGACACGTTGACTGATGAGTTCAGGTCTGGTGTTGACTTTGTGTGACTATTGCCCTTGTCCTACACACAAACACAGAGCAGTAGTTAACAAGAGCCCAAAGGTTGGTCTGTTCTTGTCATTTTGCTCGATGAATCATTTATGTACTCTGCACTGATAACTCTAAATCAAAGAACTTAGACGAGTGCAAAAAACTAGACTAGACTAGAGAAATCTTGTCTTAACTCCGACACTGACTTGTCACCATCCTGCCAGCGCTGCCACTCTTTTTTCCTGGCATCCTCTTGCGTCTCTCTGTCTTCTTTCCAGTGACAACAGTGCTGCATTACTGCACACACTTCAGGCCTTTCAGCTCCTTAGTGGATGTCTTCTCCAGGGCTGCCAGGCAGATATCTCACCATCGAGATCTATTGTGTCCACTGCACAGCCAGTAGGGGAGGGAGAGTATGTGTCATCTCTGACTGTGCTTTTTTTTTTTTTTTTTTTTTTTGCTATGGAGGCTCTTTGAGTTTCCTCTGGAGGATACTCCTGCTGCGTTTTGAGGAAGCTGGCTACTTTCCCAACTCTTGGCTGTGGTGAGGTCATTACAGTTTTATATTAGAAAGAGGGTGTGCAGTAGTAGAGGTTGTGGACGTGCATTTAGACTCATGTACATGAAAACATTTACTTCAGGCAGTTTTTGTGTAGTTAGTAAAAACTGAGGGCACCTCATTTCCTTATAGACTTTCTGTTTTATTTGTGTGTCTGGGTTTCATACTACGTGACTGTTTAATGTAAGAGCAGAAACATTTTTCTTTTTGTTTTTATTAGGCGATAAATATAAATTGGTTAACCGGAGTCAGATGTGACAACTTGGAGTAATATTCCCATGCCTTAGGAAATGGCCTTGTAAATTGTTTGCTCATCTACCTTTATTCCAAGCTCCATGGGAGACTGACAGGTAATGATGAGAGAATGTCTTGACATTTGGCTCAAAGAGGGCAATTTGCAGCAAGCAAAAGGTCATTATTGAGTTATTCGTGTGAATTAATACCTTTTGGATTTACATTGAAAAAAAGCCCTCCAGAGCTTTGAAACTATGGAGGCCTGATCATTTCTGCAAAGTCTGAATCATTTCACAAGTGACGCATGTGCACATTTTTTTAAGCTGTTCTTTCTGGTTATGTTGAACTCCCCAAGGAAAGTTGCTTTGTCTCAGACAATTACAGGATTCACCCCACCTGCAAAGAAAGCAATGAGGTCTTTGAAGAGCAGTCATGCTGAGGATGTTTGACTTAACCTTTGAACAGACTTGATATGAAAAGCAACAGTTTAATATTTTATCAGTGTCTTCAGGTTTTTGCAAATTATAGTTAACTCTGAATGTCAGAAAAGAAAAACAAATTAATCAGAGACCATCATTGTCTTATTTGATGGCAAATTAGAGGGAAAAAGTACGAAATTGTTCACATAGAAACTTGGACATGTAGACATATTTTGTAGCATCTATGTTCTAGAAATAATTGCATAAACATTTAGCAACTTGAACTAACCTGAAACAGTGATACAACAGTTTTTTTTTTTTTGTCATTTCATTTCACATGACATATCTTTTCTCAGAAGAAGAGTGTGCTCTCTTTTCTTTCGAAACAGCCCCTATGCACCTGACACCCCATCACCATGCCTATGCCTTTTTTTGGTTATCAATGTAACCTAACCAGTTCAACGGGAAAAACGTTTTACTTTGCGTTGCTAAACACTAAAGTCATTTTGTCCTCTCCCAACAACAGGCTGACAGCATAGAGTAGATTTCAAAATCTGTCACGCAGTAGTACTGTATGTTTTGGCACAGTATGATCTCGTTTTTGCATCACCTGTCACTGTTGATGTCTTAAACTCAATTGTTTAAACTGTGAAACCAGTCTGGAAAATTGGCACGCGTGACGCAAGGCATTTCAAAACCGCTGAATGTGGCCGGCTTGACTCGATCCCATGTTGCAAAGTTTCAGAACACCCTCTTTGGTTTCAGTTATGTTGAAGAAGATAACAAAACAATACCCAACATCAGGGTGATTGGCGTGTCCAAATCACATAATCCAAAATCCTGTTGTTGGACCAGTGTGGTTACACAAATCTACTTTGCAAGATGTGTTGCAGCAACTTTTAAACAAGGTAATTATTTTTCTTCCAGTTACACACTGGTATGGGTACCTTGGCTGCCAATACAGGGTACTGATCCAGCACCAGTGTTAGATTAATAAAGCTTTTCCTTACTGAGAGGAAAGGACTGGGAGTTTTGCTTTATGTCTAAGACAGCATGTCTTTACTGCATCTTTCTGTAATTCATGGTCTCTGTTTCACATTGAGTTTACCTTCTCAAATGGATGAAATAACAGATAAGAAGTCTTATCAGATGGTGGTTCAGTGGTTAGCTCTGTCCCTTACAACAAATGGGTCCTAGGTGCATACGGAGGTTGGATATTCTCCCTGTGTTTGCACAGGTTTTCCATGAGAGCTCCTCTCTCTCATGCCATTGTAAAAACAAAACAAAAAAACACCCTCTGTTATCACTGTCCATGTCAGCCGACGGACTGTTGACATAGGCTTGGATCATATACTAAACTACCAACCTGTTGGCTCATGTTAGCTTCCTCCATGCTTTGATAGCTCTTTCAGTAGCAACCAGTGCACTGCTGCTGACACATAGTTTAATATATATAGAACTCCCCAGAATTGCATTGTTACTGGGGCCTGTTGAGTTTTGCTGATCCAGGATTAAAGCTCATGATGAGGACCTCCTCATCAGAGTTGGTGATCAGGAGCTGGTAGTATGCTAGTAACAGGCATAGAGTTGAATAGAAATGTGTGTAAACTACATCAGCTCTTTCAGCTGTACTGGCAACAGTGGAAGCTTTCATGCAATACAGAGTTGATCATTAAACAGTTATGATTGTATTACGTCCTTTTACTTACCCTTAATTACTGACACAGTATTGCAATTAATAGGATGTATTTCTGCACCATATGTGCTGACTCTTGTAGACTTGGATAATATAGTGTAGAAAAACAAACCAAAAATAAAAACACAGTAACTGGTGGTGTGCAGCTGGCAGCTTTTGTCCAGTCATTGGCCTTTTTTACACTCCAATGAGCCATCATTGTTTTCCAGCATTGAGTGACCACAGAAACAGGTGGTTTTGGCCTTAAGCATACTAAAAGGACAAAGGAAGTATGTTGGTCACCACTGTGACTACCAGATGACAAAGTCATGCAAGGAAACCAGTTCAGGAGATGGGAACAGTCACATGAGTTGTTGTGGGTTCTTGTCATGCATATCTGATAATCCTGTGAGAATCACACATTTCCTGCCTGAGCTTATAGAGGTCCTTTTCTAGGTCAGCAGTTCTGTGTTGTGAATGGACTAGGGTGAAGTTGCAATACCTAAATTGATAAGGATCGAAGTTCCTTTGTCTCTTTGTTTTAACTGAATGTGTTTCAGTGTCGTTTACATGAATCAGCTTTGAGGCCCGTCCTGTGTGAGCTTACCTGCATTAGTCTGTTTCCCTTTATAGGTATGTGCGTGTGGTTTTGGGTGTGCCAGAAGGGTTTGGTTCGCGCCTTCCTCTCTGTTGTTTTGTTTTCCATTGTGCTTTGTGTGTCTTTGCTGGCTTCTCAGTTACAAGTACA